GAGGCCTCCACCCCTGTTTAATGATGGACGATTTCTTTTCACAAAGATGGCCTCCTTTACTCCTCTCTCAAACCATCGTTCCTCTCTGTCCAGGATGTGAACATCTTCATCCCTGAAAGAGTGACCGCTGGCCTGGAGATGAGTGTAGACCGCAGAGTCCTGGCCTGATGATGTTGATCTTCTGTGCTGGGCCATCCTTTTGGCCAGTGGCTGTTTAGTTTCCCCGATGTAAGACTGATCACAGCCCTCCTGACACTGAACAGCATACACAATATTACTCTGTTTGTGCCGGGGGACTGGATCTTTGGGATGAACCAGTCTTTGCCGTAATGTATTTTGGGGTTTAAAAGCCACTGGGACGTTGTGTTTAGAAAATAAACGTCTCAGTTTCTCTGATACTCCCTCAACATACGGAATGACCACTGGTCTGGGTCTGGGTTCCTCCTTTTCACCCGAGGGCTGACTGGAGTCCTGTTTGGGTTTCTTCTCTGCTTTCAGGAAGGCCCAGTTAGGATATCCACATTGCTCTAGAGCCTGTCTTGTGTGGGATTTCTCCTTCTGCCTGGCTCCTGAGCTAGTGGGGATGCTGTCTGCTCTGTGGTACAGAGTCCTGATGACTCCTAACTTGTGCTCCAAAGGGTGATGGGAGTCAAACTGCAAATACTGGTCTGTGTGGGTGGGTTTGCGGTACACCTCAGTTTGCAAATGTCCTCTATCAGAGACTGAGACATCACAGTCCAAGAAAGCCAACCTGCCATTTTTTACATCTTCTCGTGTGAACTTGATGTATTTATCCACAGAGTTGATGTGGTCAGTAAAATGTTGGACTTCCTGAGATTTGATTTTAACCCAGGTGTCGTCAACATACCTGAACCAATGACTTGGTGGTGTCCCTGAAAAGGACGTCAATATGGGGAGCAATATTATAGGCAGAAACATGGGTGTGCTATGGGGTCTCCAGTTTCTCCTATTGTTGCCAACCTGTACATGGAGGAGGTAGAAAAGAGAGCCTTGACGTGTGGATATCCTAACTGGGCCTTCCTGAAAGCAGAGAAGAAACCCAAACAGGACTCCAGTCAGCCATCAGGTGAAAAGGAGGAACCCAGACCCAGACCAGTGGTCATTCCAGATGTTGAGGGAGTATCAGAGAAACTGAGACGTTTATTTTCTAAACATAACGTCCCAGTGGCTTTTAAACCCCAAAATACATTAAAGACTGGTTCATCCCAAAGATCCAGTCCCCCGGCACAAACAGAGTAATATTGTGTATGTTGTTCAGTGTCAGGAGGGTGATCAGTCTTACATCGGGGAAACTAAACAGCCACTGGCCAAAAGGATGGACCAGCACAGAAGATCAACATCATCAGGCCAGGACTCTGCGGTCTACACTCATCTCCAGGCCAGAGGTCACTCTTTCAATGATGAAGATGTTCACATCCTGGACAGAGAGGAACGATGGTTTGAGAGAGGAGTAAAGGAGGCCATCTTTGTGAAAAGAAATCGTCCATCATTAAACAGGGGTGGAGGCCTCCGGGTTCAACTGTCCCCCTCTTACAATGCTGTGATTGCTAGTATCACTCAGCCCTCTGTGAACAGTAAACAGCCATCAGTGTGTTAATGATCCATTGTTAGGCTGATGGTCCTTCTTGAGCATGTGATCAGCTGGTTTTGGTTGTCAGCAGCAAAACTGGTTGATCCACCCTGAGAAGGTGCTATTTAAGAGACTGAGCTGAATACAGCTCCTCAGACTGAGGAAGTCTCTCGGACGAGAGACGAAACGTTTCTAGATTTTTTTGCTTTGTTTTGTTTTTTGTTTTTTGAATGTCCAGAGGACCAGATTGAACTTTTTTGGATTTTTCTACCTGGATTATTGAGCATGTTATATATGTTAATATGTTAATTGAACATGAAATGTATCAGGCAGAGTGGACAGACACGGTCGAGTTCGGATTCAAAGCCTTCACGTGGTACCTTGATCCTGGGCATGGTGACCGTGGGGGCTCTCGCCTTGGCCACGAAGCTGTGGGCCGAGCCTCGCTCCACCAGCCGCCGCGTGTAGGGCATGAAGAGGCGGCCCCTGGGCCCGAACACGAAGTCCTCCCGGAGCGCGTCCACCAACATCACAACCAGCCGCTTGAACAGGGGCCGAGGCAGGCGGGTGGAGTTCCGAGAGCCTCCTGTGGTGTTGGTGCGAGAACAGTTAGAACTTGGAACAGAGCGACACGCGCGGTGCTCGTGAGGCTGGGGCTCACCTGCCAGCGGCTCAGCAGGAACATCTGACATCAGGTTCTTGGAGGACAGAGACGACTTGACAGGAAGGGGGAAAAACCCCCGCAGGAACAGAGCAACACCAAGCACTTCAAAGATTAAGATGAAGGAGGCGAACACAGACGAGCGTACTTTCATGTTCAACTTTTACACAAACTAAAGCTAAATCTACATGAAACTGTCCCGAGGAGCGGAAAGCTGCCAAACCTCACATACACACACCGACAAACAGCGGACAGCAAAACCACGGCTCAATTTGTTATAAACTCATAACAAGGTCTGTATTTACATCCGTAAATTACAATAAAAACCGTAATTATTCCAGTAAGAGCTGCAGCCATTCATAGCAACTTCCGTGTTGACAGAAAAGTACGGGTAGTGCATAGAACCAAAAAGTCTCAGGACGCGTTTTCTTCATTGGCGAGTGAAGCAAAAGAGTAAGATTTGGTGATTGTCTGGAATATGAATA